CCTCCACAATCAACTCATGGATGTTGGAAAGCCATGCAGAATTCAGATAGAGACTGCACTGACTCGTGGGTGGGTGGCTTTGGACAGTATTACATAGCATGTGCACAGAAGGTGCTTTTACTGAAAAGCACAGACTCTTTCCTTGGGCCCAAGAGTTCACTAAAAGCAGGAGATGAGCTGGAAAAGCGGCTCAGTGGTAGAGAGCTTGTCTTGCAGGCATGAAGCCCTAAGCTCTATTCCTCAGTAACACATAGCAGAAAAAGTTGGAAGTGGTGTTGTGGCTCAAGTGGTAGAGTGCTCGCAATGAGCTGAAGAGCTGAGGGACAGAGCCCAGGCCCAGAGTTCAAGTCCCAGGACCAACCAAAAAAAAAAGAGAGAGAGAGAAGGTCGGCCTTGCAGCCTCTGTTTTCCATCTGTCTCCTTCACTCTGAGCCTCTGTCGGGTTTCAGGAAGGTCTGAACTGGTAGACAACACCTTTACCAAGAGGGAGTGAAACTACTCAAGCAAAGGAGCAGCAGAGTGTGCAGGACAGACCGGCCCCGCGAGGACCACGGCCTGTGCGGCTAGGCTGCGGCAGGGCAGGAGCCGTCACCTCTGGGGACATCACGCTGTCCCCCTGAAGTGGGGACAGCAGGAACAGTGCTGCAGAACCTGAGTTAATGATCAGCTAGGTCACACTTGGACTGGGACTGCTTAATCATGCATACCCCAGCCCCCAACTCTCCCCTGACAGTCCCTCAGGTGGGGATGTACTTTAGTGGTAAAGTATTTGCTTAGTAGGCATGAAGTCCTGGGTTTGATTCACACACACACACACACACACACACACACACACACACACCAAAAGATGCCAAACCCTTAGTCTCGTGTTTGTTACCTGAAAATGACATTGGGTGTCATTCTGGGGTCTCTGAGTCTCTAACCATGACCTCCAGATTCAAGCCCTGACATAGAAGAACACCTGTGTCTCAGTCAGGAGGAGGAGCTGGATGAGGTGTGACCTTTGGGTAGCTTGGAAACATGCTCACTCCCTAGCTGCATCACCCTCACCTTTGGTCATCAGCTCCACCCAGCCCTGAGCTCCTCCCAGCTACAGCTGGCCCCTCCCTCTCTCCGCCCAGGCCCACCTACCTCACTCCCCCTCGGCCAACAATGACCTCTCATGAAGAAGAGCAAAGAGCAGGGTTTAGGTTCCACTCTTGTTTAGTATCAACACAGTTTTCACATATTTAATGACATGCACGTGGAGCAGCATGGTGGGCAAAACAAAGCTTGGAATATTTGCGCGTCCTTGGCTACGCTGATACTGTCCCCCCTCCGGCTGGCGGACTGTCACCACGTGCCTGGACAGAAGGCCTGCAGCAGAGGTCAGGGGAGGCAGTGGCTCTCTGTGGCCCGCGGCTGACCCTATAGAGCAATTTCCCTGCAGAGCAACTGGGCTCTGGGTTGAGAACCAACCCCCTTGGCACCAGCGATTTCTCTGAGGGTTGAGTGCACCCGGCGCGGGGCTGAGGTCCATCCAGTCCACCCGGTGCCTCTCAGCGCTCTCTCTCCACCTTCAAGGTGGCCAGGCTGCAGGTAGGCCCCGCTGAGGTTCCATTCAACTGCAGATGGGTGAATGCTTTAGAGACCCACCCTGCCCAGCCCAGGGACTGAGGGGCTGGGTTCTGCCACCACAGGCCACACACCCTCCCCAGGCCCACCAACCTCACAGGGCCACTGCTGCCTGCCTGGAAAGGGTTGAGCCCAGTGCCTGGCACACGCTGCCTGGCAGGCACCTGGTCGGAGTCAATGCCAGCTTCCCCTGCCTGCGTTTCTTCCTGTTGAGACCTTCACCCTGGCAACATCAGCCGGGCACTGTCCCCTGCCCGGAAGGGCCAAGCTGTCACAGCGTGTATCTTTGGTGAGGCAGAAGGGCACAGTCACCTTCCAGCACTGACTGTGTCTGGAGAGGTCAGAGGAGAGTGCGGGGTCGGAGGTCAGAGGTGAGACTCATCCGTGTCTTTGAATACCCCTCATTCTTTCAAGGAACCTAATGCAAAGTAGGTGCTCAGGAAAGCTTTGCTAAGTCACCCAACTCTTCAGTTTCCTCTATTTCTGCAGGGCACCTTGAACCCCACTGCTGGGGACCGAGCCCGCCCCTCACTGCCGGGCAGCCCCAAGTTGATGTGTCCGCTGGCCTGGGCTATGTGGAGACACAGAAAGCTGTGAGATTCCTCTGAGTGATTCCACGAAGCCCTGTGCCAGGGGGTGCCGGGAGCGTGGGGCAGAAATGCTGTCCTGGCCCCACTGCGGGGGTGGGGGGTGCTCATACCTGGCCCCCATGTCTTCTCTTGGTGGGGCCGGGCAGAGGGTGCCTTGGTTTTCCAAGCTCTGCGGGCAAGAGGGGAACCCAGCTCAGAGGAAGCTGGGGACCGCAGGCCCTTTCCGGTGCTTGCTGGCTGCCGAGGCCGCGCTCCGGTGGTGGATGGCATGCTGGGGTGCAGGGGTGGTGTGCGGCTGGAATGGGCTGGAATGGGCCCGTGGTTTCTCGCTCTGCCGCTCCATGCCGCTCCTCCGTCCTCAGCACTGCCCTTCTTTGGTTGTAAGCGCACAGGCTCCCTGCCTGCGTTTGGTTTCTGCTCCGGGTCTTCACGGCCCTCTGGGAGGTGGTGGCATGGCATTCTGGCGTTCCTCAAGCTGCCACTGGCTCCAGCGACGTTCGGGCTGAAACGTGATCTACTGCCAAGGGCCATCCGGGCACCACCAGCCCTGGGAATGGCTGGGGTTCGGAGCTCCCCGTGGTGGGGCTGGGGTACAGGCTTCTCACCCCCTGACCTGGGGAGTGGTTGCACTGCTGGCAGGAGTGGGGGGCTGGTGGTTGGGATGTGGGCTGGGGAACCCGGTGGCAGGCTCCCCAAGGCTGCATCAGGGCTGCGGAAGGGCTGCATACTGAGAGGAGGGTGCTGCTCCCTCCTGGCCAGCTTGGTCCCGTCCCACACCCTGCACACATTCCGTGGCCTCTGGGAATTGTGGACACCAGGTATCTAGGGCTGGGAGCCATGCAGGAGTCATGGAGATCTTTCTGGTCCTCTTTGGTTTTGAAAGGCTTAAAAAAAATCCTGTAAGCAGTGTCTGTCGGGATGCCTCTGGAAGCCACTGGAAGGAGCATGGAGACTTGCAGGTGAGAGGGGGCGTTGTCCAGGTGGAGAGCGGCTCAGCACTGGGGATGAGGGGGTGGGCATGTTTGTTCTCTGGGGTCCAGCGGTGGCTTCTTCGTCCAGCTGATGTTGGTGTTTCCAGTTCTCAGGCCCTTGGGCTCTGGCACTGTCCCCTGTGCCAGCTTCCCGGGTCAGCGGTCAGCTCGGATCACAGTCAGCTTGCCTGGTTCTCCAGCTGGCACCCTGTGGGACTTCCTGGCCCCCACAATTCTGTGTCCATGTCCCACAAGTCTCTTGTCATAAGCCACAGCTCCCCCTCCCCCTCCCCCGCCCTCCCTGGGCTCTTCTCCCTGGAGAACGCTGATGAAGGCAGGCCCTCTGAGGTTCCCCCAGGGCCGCCGTTGTGCTGTTGCGGGAGCTGGTTCTGGGGGACGCTGGGACAGGAGCTATGCAGGGCTCGCTCCAGAGGCTCCCCCTGCCACCCTCCACAAATCTCCAGTTGGGAGAATGGGGTACAGGGCGCTCTCGGGCATGATGGCAGGGAGCAGCTCCTGGGCTCCAGCCTTGGCGGCCTCTGGGTCTGTCGTGCTGGCCCTGTCACCAGCCCTCCTGTCTTCAGTCCTCACAGGCCACGCGTGTTCCTCTCAGTGTTCTCTTCCTGGCAGCCAGGCCGCTGGGGATCAGCTAGCCTGGAGTCAAAGACGAGTTCACTTCCCATTCTCCAGCGTTCCTTGGAATTCAGACTGTCTGTCAACCTGACAGGTACAGAGCATTTCCTAGGCGCATCTTGGCCTTGCAAGCCCTGGCTCTCGGCTGCCTCCCTGGCCAAGCGAGAGGCTATGAGGCCTGGCTGCCCCACCTCCCTACTTTTCTTCTTTAAAGAGAGACTCAGAGGTTTCGAAGGGAGCCAGGCCCCAGGACAATGCTGCCACCCCTGCCTTGGGTGGTCTGCTCTCCCTGATGGAGGAGACCCCGCTGGTGTTTCTGCGAGGAAGGCCTTGGTGTGTCCTGCGAGGTGGCCTTTCCTGGTGCAGACCCGAGGTCATCCCCGCAGCCTGGGGACCAGGGCCTCTTCCACGGTGCACGGCTGGGCTGCAGCCTCCACAGGACGGGGCAGGGAAGGCTGCTCGCTCGTGCAGAGTCCTGTTGAGGGTTAGTGATGGTTCTGGGGTGACTGGGACAGACGAGGCTCCAGAACAACATCCCAGATGACAAGATCCACTCCACACGCGGCGTGTCCAGGGGGGTCCTGTGCGCCTCAGCTCTGGGCACCTGCCTCCCACACACAGGGGGGGAGCAGTCTACTCATTGAGGGGGCTGCAGCAGTGATTTACAGTTGCTAACGGGAAATCTCCTAAAGTACCACCCACAAATAGAAGTATATATATTATATATATATATATCTATATATATATAGAAAGTAATGTTCTATCAAGGAAAAGCACAAGCCCACAGTTTCCTCCCCTGGCAACTCTGTCCTTAAAGCCCTCAGATGGTGTCTCCAGGTACCCTGACTTCTGGTCTGGCTTCCTGTGTGGGTGACAGTGGCCACGCCTCCAGGGAATAGCACTATGTTGGCCAGGCCCCCTCTCCAGAAACCTCAGGTCAGAGCCTGCTGCCCACATAGTGGGCACCCATGGCCTGTCCCATCCTGCTACAGATGCCCAGGAGGGGGCGCTCTTGGTGCCACTGGACACAGAGAGGTGAAGGAGGGACAAAGGCTGTGGGAAGCAACGTCTCCCACTGAGGTGGTGACCTGAGGGGGCCTTCCCCAGTTGGCGGTGAGCTGTCCCCGCCCGGCCTGTGGGTGCTGAGGTCTCCGCTCCCCCTGGGTCCCACCGTCCCTCGCAGGGCAGCTCAGAGGCTATTTGTACGGCCGCAGGAACCGGGACACTTTGGAGCGCAGCAGTTTGATGAAGGAGCGAGGGAACATCTCCTTCGACTCCTGGGCTGTGTACTTGAAGTAGTTCTGGGGGTGCGCCAGCACGTCAAAGAGGGCCTTGATCAGCTTCTTGTCCTGTAAGCCAGGGGCAGGGTGAGGCCTGGGCCCTGTCAAATGCCCAGGGACCAAAACAGGTGGGCGGGGTCTGTGTGGGAAGAGCTTGGGCCGGCGGAAGGTTCCAGAACCCAATCTCCTCTTGGCCACAAATAATCCTTTGGTGTTAGTGGTATAATTGGTCTTTTCTGTACTGCTGGGAATCAAACCCAGATACTTGCGCTAGGCAAGCGTTCTTCCACTGAGCTACATCCCAGCCCCAAGAGGCTGGTTTTCCATGGTTTATTCGCTTCAACTCTTGGGGATCCAACTATATATATATATATTTATTTATTTTTGTTGGTCATGGGGCTTGAACTCTGGGTCTGGGCACTGTCCCTCAGCTCTTCAGCTCAAGGCTAGCGCTCTACCACTTGAGCCACAGCGCCACTTCCAGCCTTTTCTGCTGATGTGGTGCTGAGGCATTGAACCCAGGGCCTCATGCATGCAAGGCAAGCACTCTACCACTGAGCCACCTTCCCAGCCTCCAACAATAGTTTACACACACACACACAGACACACACACACACTGGGTTCAAAATACAACACACAACCCTTTGAAAGCCAGAAAACAGGCAGCAAAGAGCATAGGCTCTGTGTGTGTAGCTCCAAGGCCCTGGGTGGGCCAGGCTGTCTGTGCCCCAGGGAGGCTGGAGGGATGGGTGGTGGTTCCCTGGGGACAGGAGGTGAGGAGAAGGTTCTCTAGGGACCTTTGAGTGAGAGCAGGGCCGGGTGGGTCCGGCTGGCTTTGTGTCCTCAGGACAGGCCGAGCTGAGGGGGGAGGGAGGGGGAGGGAGGGAGCCTGCCGTGGGGGCCGAGATGTGGGTGAAGCCACATCAACCTGTCCACCATGCCTGTGTACCACAGGGATGGAGTGGAAGACTTGTTTTCCAGACACTGTGACAGCCTAGCCCCAGGCTGGCTTCTGTCCCCTGGGCCAGAGGCTGAGCCCGGTCTGTCTGTTCTAAGCAGATTCCAGGACAGGGCTCTCGTGCTGAGAACCAGGGTCCTGGGTGTCTAAGAGCTGCCACCCAGGATGCAGAGGGCTGGCGGCAGGTGGCAGTAGTGGTGGCTGGACTCTAAGATGTCGCCCTGTCAAACTGCTTCGGGCAACGAGAGTGCCAGGGGCCAGTCGCCAGGCTCTGGCCACCAGCTTCGCAGCAGCCAGCCTGCCCGAGGCCACCAGCTCTGGGGGATAGCTCCTGGGCCCGGTCCCTGCTCTGGGCTCCCCCAGCCTCCTCCAGGGCTCAGGGCCAGAGTGGGGGTGGGAGGACCCAGGCTATGCTCTGTCCTAGGAAGCCCCTGCCCATAAACTCACCTTCAAGATTTCCTGGTGATTCTCTGAGGCGTACAGACGCCCGTCGCGGACGATGTCCTCTATCAGCTGCTGGTAGTCCTCTGGAGGCCGGGGAGCAGGGAGAGGAAGGCCAGGGGCTGGAGACCTCCCTGCTCCAGCCAATGTCCTCCCCAGCAACCTCCCCTGGCTGGATGCAGCTCTGCCCCTGGGCCTTTGCTCCTGGGGTTCCCTCTGCCCCTCTGCCCTCCTGGTGGCTTAGCTGCCCGTGTCACTCTGCCTGGGCAGGATCTCCCACCGGAGCCGATGCCAAAGCCAATGGTGACCACAGTCCCCAGATCCCCCTGCATTGGCAGCCCCACGCTCTTTGGACCTGCCTCTAGCCCCGCGGGTTCCTCCTCCTGCACCCGTGTCCCAGAAGGGGGCAGCGATGGGTGACTTGTCTTCGCACAGCCGGGCGGGTGCAGGTGGGCTGTGGCGAGCCCGTGGCGCCTTACCATCGTAGGTGACGTACGGCACTTGGAACCCTTTGCCGCTGTTGCCTTCGTTGGACTTGAACTGGATCCAGAGCTTGCGTGAGCGAGAGGTGAAGGCGATGGGCCTCTCGTAGGTCTGGCAGGTCTCGTAGGTGGTGACAGACGTAGGTGAGGCTGTGAGGGAGATGCCATAGTGCCCCAGGCCTGCCGCTCCTCACCGCCCCCTCCTGCCCCCCCAGCTGCCAGCATCTGCAACGCCTGGCCCCAGCTGCAGGCAGCTCTCTGGGCTGCTCCCTTCCTCCCTGTCCTTCCCTGCGCTTAGCCCAGCTCTACCTGTCCTGGCGGCTCATTCCCAGGTCCCTTCCTCCAGGAAAGCCCTCTAGTTGGTCCTTTTGCCCCGTGATTGGATGTCAGGGTGAATCTCTGACCCCGAGTACCTGCCTCCCTATGGCTTCTGGGAGGAACAGGTGCTCCGTGCTCTGAGTGATCTCGCTGTTCAGGACAACACAACACACACAGCATGGCACCCGTGACACAGAGGAAGCACTGGCTCCTGCCCCTCCCCTGCCCCGTCTGTATTCATGAATAGACAAGGTTCAGACTGGGGGTGTTTATTTTTTTGTGCTGGTCCTGGGGCTTAAACTCAGGACCTGTTTTTTTGTTTTTTGTTTCCCTCTCAAGGCTAGCTCTCTACCACTTCAGCCACAGCTCCATTTCCAGCTTTTTTGGTTTTTTGTTTGTGGGGCCTGAACTCTGGGCCTGGGCGCTGTCCCTCAGCTCTTCAGCTCAAGGCTAGCACTCTACCACTGAGCCACCTTCCCAGCCCTGGCTTGTTTTTTAAATAGGACTCTTACAGACTTTCCTGCCCAGGGTGGTTTCAAACTGTGATCCTCAGATCTCAGCCTCCTGAGTAGTTAGGATTACAGGTGTCAGCCACAAATGCCCGGCTTCAAGGTGTGTTTTTGGTTTTGTCTGGACTCCTGGCCATCCCCCTAGCTTTTGAACTTGGGGCTTGCTCCAATGTGTGCTTACTGCCTGTAACAGCAAAGACAGCCCTGGCTCAGCCCTGGACTTGCTGTGGGTGCTCAGGTACAGTGCAGGTTATTTCACTGGCTGGCCATTTGAGCACAGGCTGGTCTGCAGCGCTGCTGGCCCTCGGCTTCACCACCTGATGGGACTCACAAGCCAGGAGTCTGGGGTTGGAGGTGGGGAGAGATGGTCTGTGTGTGCCGGGTGACCCTTCTCTTCCCAAAGCCCCAGAAGGAGAGAGGACTGGAAGGCAGCCCTGGGTCACAGCCAAAGGTCAGGCACAGCACGGCAGTTGTGGGAGGGAGCTGGCTTGTGCCAGGGCTGAGGCCTGGCAAGGTCTGACTCCCAGGGTTGGGGTAACGATGAGCTTTCTGGATCTTTCTGTCTCCCGGGGACCTCTGAGGCCGGTACATACCGCTCTTCCTCATGACCAGGACGTCACCACACTCGTCCTCAACGGGCAGGAAGATCTCAGGGACCACGATGAGGATCCTGCGCTTGGGAGGAGGCGCGATGTGCCACACGCACTCAGCATTGGCCGGGTAGTCTCCAGGGTAGTTGGGGGACTCGATGTAGCCCGTGTAGTCTCCCAGCTCACCGCCGCAGTGCCGGTCTGTGGGCAGCAGGGCCCCAGGGTCTGGTCAGACTCGGCTGGATGGGTGATCTGGCTAGCTGGCCCGCAGGGCACAGAAAGGACTGGCAGGTGCTCCGGTCCTCCTCTGCCCAGCCTCCACCAGTGTGCCCTGGCAGCCAGCCCAAACCTGCACTGTGCTGCTGAGCTCCTAGGTCCATACCTGCCGGTTCTCCCATGTCTGCCTGTCAGGTCCCAGAGGGCGGAGCCCTGGCCACCCCTGCAGCCTGCCCTAAGGCTGCCCCTGGCCCCTATGCACCATCTATGCCTGAATCCTGCTTCCTTTTGTTTCAGGGTCTGCAGCATGGTGCCCACGAGGTAGCCTAGGAGTCTCCTGCCTGTGGAGCTTCCGGGCTGGCACCTGGTGGCTGTCCCATGGCTGGCCAGCCTCCATGACACAGGGCCTGGCTTCTCTCCCTGGGACTCAGAAATTAGAGCAGGGCCTGGCCTCGGCCCTATCTATGGGGCTTGTCTATGTAGCAAGGGAATTAGGAACTGTGTGCAACCATACCACTCACAGTGCCCAGGGATGAAGGATTGTGTGCAATCACACCACTCACAGTGCCCAGGGATGCAATCACACCACTCACAGTGCCCAGGGAAAAGGATTGTGTGTAATCACACCACTCACAGTGCCCAGGGATGAAGGATTGTGTGCAATCACACCACTCACAGTGCCCAGGGAAAAGGATTGTGTGTAATCACACCACTCACAGTGCACAGGGATGAAGGACCGTGTGTAATCACACCACTCACAGTGCCCAGGGATGAAGGATTGTGTGTAATCACACCATTCACAGTGCCCAGGGATGAAGGACTGTGTGTAATCACACCATTCACAGTGCCCAGGGATGAAGGACTGTGTGCAATCACACCACTCACAGTGCCCAGGGATGAAGGATTGTGTGCAATCACACCACTCACAGTGCCCAGGGATGAAGGACTGTGTGTAATCACACCACTCACAGTGCCCAGGGATGAAGGATTGTGTGCAATCACACCACTCACAGTGCCCAGGGATGAAGGACTGTGTGTAATCACACCACTCACAGTGCCCAGGGATGAAGGACTGTGTGTAATCACACCACTCACAGTGCACAGGGATGAAGAACTGTGTGCAATCACACCACTCACAGTGCCCAGGGATGAAGGACTGTGTGTAATCACACCACTCACAGTGCACAGGGATGAAGAACTGTGTGCAATCACACCACTCACAGTGTACAGGGATGAAGGACCGTGTGTAATCACACCACTCACAGTGCACAGGGATGAAGGATTGTGTGTAATCACACCATTCACAGTGCCCACGGATGAAGGACTGTGTGCAATCACACTGCTCACAGTGCACAAGGATGAAGGACTGTGTGTAATCACACCGTTCACAGTGCACAGGGATGAAGGACTGTGTGTAATCACACCGCTCACAGTGCACAGGGATGAAGGACCGTGTGCAATCACACCACTCACAGTGCACAGGGATGAAGGACTGTGTGTAATCACACCGCTCACAGTGCACAGGGATGAAGGATTGTGTGTAATCACACCGCTCACAGTGCCCAGGGATGAAGGATTGTGTGTAATCACACCACTCACAGTGCCCAGGGATGAAGGACTGTGTGTAATCACACCACTCACAGTGCCCAGGGATGAAGGACTGTGTGCAATCACACCACTCACAGTGCAGAGGGATGAAGGACCGTGTGCAATCACACCGCTCACAGTGCACAGGGATGAAGGACCGTGTGCAATCACACCGCTCACAGTGCACAGGGATGAAGGATTGTGTGTAATCACACCGCTCACAGTGCACAGGGATGAAGGATTGTGTGTAATCACACCGCTCACAGTGCACAAGGATGAAGGACTGTGTGTAATCACACCGTTCACAGTGCCCAGGGATGAAGGACTGTGTGTAATCACACCATTCACAGTGCCCAGGGATGAAGGACTGTGTGCAATCACACCGCTCACAGTGCCCAGGGATGAAGGACTGTGTGCAATCACACCATTCACAGTGCCCAGGGATGAAGGACTGTGTGCAATCACACCGCTCACAGTGCCCAGGGATGAAGGACTGTGTGCAATCACACCGCTCACAGTGCCCAGGGATGAAGGACTGTGTGCAATCACACCACTCACAGTGCCCAGGGATGAAGGACTGTGTGCAATCACACCACTCACAGTGCACAGTGATAAGGAACCATGTGTAATCACACCATTCACAGTGCACAGGGATGAAGGGAGCATGTACAATCATATCACTCACTATGCACAAGGCTGCCCTTCCTTCCCTGGGCTCAAGGTGGTCATAGGATCCATTGGGCAGAGGTGATCAGTGAGGGCCAGGGGCCCCTCTCAGCACATGAGGTCAGGTTCAACGTTGTCCTCAAGCCCGACACCACCCACTGCGTCCCAGCTTCTCACCCGGGTGAGAGGACACCTACTTTTGCAGTGTGTGACATTGGTGGAGCCATCAAAGTCGGTGCTGGTGTTGCCTGGACAGGTGAGGCAATGGTTCTGGCCAAACTCAGGCTGGTAGGTGCCCACAGGGCAGCGGATGCAGCGGTGAGTGGTAGTGTTGTAGTGGTGGCCGGGGGAGCAGTGCACTGTGGGCAGGAGACACTGGTGGGCAAGGACCGGAGCGGCCCCTGCTCTCCAGGCCGATCCCAGCATCTCCCACCCAGTGACCCTCCCGACCCGTGCTCTCCCACTAGGGGTAGCGGGCAGCACCTGTCAGTGGAAGGACAAAGGTTCATGCAGAGGATGGAGAGGGCACCGGAAGTGCTCAGCCTGGACATGGCTCCAGCAACACAGGCCCACGTAGGGACTAGACAATTTTTTGGCTTTGGTTGGTTGTGGGGCTTGAACTCTGGGCCTGGGCACTGTCCCTGAACTCTTCAACTCAAGGTGAGCACTCTACCACTTGAGCCACAGCACCACTTCCGGTTTTCTGGTGGTTAGTTGGAGTTAAGAGTCTTATAGACTTTCCTGCCCAGGCTGGCTTTGAACTGTGATCCTCAGATCTCAGCCCCCCTGTGTAGCTAGGATGCCAGGCGTGAGCCACTGGTAGCTGGTTGGGACTAGAGCATTTGAGGGAAGCAGTGGGGGCGGCAGTGTGACTGGAGGCGCTTGCACAGGAAGTGGAGAGAGTGGCGAAGCCAGACTCTCCTTTCAAGCTGGATGGGTAGGGGGGCCTGCGTGGGGCTGGAGTGTGCTAGCGCTCCCCTCCCCACTTTTCCCCTCCCCGGTCCCTCTTTCCCTCCCCCAGACCAGTGCCTTGAGAAGTGGCGGCGCCCCTTGTCCCTTGAGGTGCAGCAAGCTGCTGTCTCTGCCTGTGTGCCCCACGTGCCCTGCCTGAGCTGGCGGGTGAGGCGTGGATGGTGGGTTTCGGGGAAGCCAGCCCTCGGGTGGAGGCGCAGGGGGTGGGGACGAGGGGGGAGGGTTCCTCACCTTTGGCTTCGCAGTCCTGGAAGGAGGTGCTGCCGGCGTGCTTGGTGAGCAGCCCCCCTCCGCAGGGGAAGCAGCGGGTGCGTCCTGGCTCGGGCTGGTACGTGCCCATGGGGCAGGCCTGGCAGGCCTTGAAGCCAGTGGCTGAGAAGAAGCCTGGTGAGCACTGGCCTGCAAGGAAGGGATCACGGCTCAGGCTGTGGGGGGGGGCAGGAACATGCCCAGCCGCCCCCCCCCCCCAGCTCTTGCCCTGTACGGGAAAGTTGGTTGGGGTGGGATGACCAGGCAGCCTGGGTGAGGAGAGGCCAGGAAGGCAAGTGACTTTGCTGTTGAGCTGCAACATGGGGGCCTCGTGTGAACCAGCTAGTGCTGTTTTCTGTTGTGGGGTGAAGGAAAAGCCCCAGAATGGGTCTTCCAGGACCCAAGGGCTCTGACAGGACGTAGTGAGAGGCCCACAGGAACCCAGCTTCAGCTCCACGTGAGTTCTAGCATTCCGGCATGACTGGAGGAGTGGACTTAGGGTCCTGGCAGACTCTGAGAGTCTAGCTTCTCCCGCCTGTGACTGCGGTGCCCTCCCGCAGTCCGCTGTTGGGGGGCGGGGAAAGACTCCTGCTGCTAGAGGAGCAGCAGAGGAGCAGCTGGCAGCCTGCAGAGAAGGGGTTCAGAGACCCCCCAGGTGCTGAGTGTTCTCACTCGGGAGGGCAGGCTGTCGGGGAGACTGACCACGCTGCAGACGGGGCTGTGGGGTCAGTCAATGGGAAAGCTCTTGGCTAGCCAAATTGTCCCTGGAGAATGGTACAGGAGCAGCTAGGGCGGAGGTGAAGGGTGGGGCTAGAGCAGAGCCCCCCTCCAGTGAGGCCCACCGAGGCTAGGCACTTCCAAGGAGAGCTGGTCTGGTCTGCCACAAAGCCCTCCATGTGGGCCATACCTGGGTCTGTACAGGACTGGCCTTTCTGAGCTGCTGGCTGCATGCTGAGCATGCTCAGGGCAGCACGGGCCCCAGTGCCCTGGGGTGGGGGGGAGCAAGGGTGGCTTTGGAAATGGCAGAGCTTCAGATAAGACCTTGTTCTGTGACCCCATGCAGCTTCTGCCTTTGCTTGGGAGGCCTTGGGGTAGGAGGGCCCCAATCTATGCCCGTTCCCTTCCTGACCCCTCCCTGGGTGGGCCTCCCTTACCGCCACATTCAGATATGTTGCGGGCACCAGCCAGACCGAGACCGTCACTGCTGGGGCATGGCGTGCAGCTGAGCTGGCCTTCCATGTCCTGGTAGGTCCCGGGCGGGCACGGCACGCACTGGCTCGGCTCCCCGCTGAAGGAGGTGCCCGGCCCACAGGGCACTGGGAGGCAAAGTGGAGAGACAGCAAGTGACACAGGCCGGGGGGGGGGGCATTCCCTGGGAGCCCCACCAGGCTCGCCCCCAGCAGGTGTCAGGGCCCAGTGGCCCGGCCCCAGCCACAGGGACGGGGCCGCCGTCTGCGAGGCCTCATCCCGGGCTCGTGTCCCCCTGACTTCTCAGTGTGCTCTGCAGAGCCCCGAGCCCTGCCCGGGTTCCTGGCTTTCCTCTTTCTCTCTGCTCCACCTCCTGCCCTCCTGCTTGACCTTTTGGACTTTTTAAAAACCCAGTCACAATGGCAGGCTTTCCCTGCAGGCCTCTGTCCCTCTGTCCCTCGGGGGTCTGTCTCCCCTGGGGACACACTGCACTTGCCCTGGCTGCAGGAGTCAGAAAGGCCAGGGCAAGTCTGCACGAACTCACCACACTTGCCGTCCCGGAGCACCTGACCGGGCCCACATGTCGCCGGCCCCTCCAGAGCTTTGGCTGGCCGCTGGGCCACCTCGTACTCAGTGCCCGAGATCTGGACATAGAACTGCTGCCGGCTGATGGACTTGCGCAAGGTCTTGATGGCGGCCTGTAGGCTCTGCTCTGCCCGCTTCCGCATGCAGTCCACCTCGCAGGAGTCTGCAGGGGTGGCGGGCAGCTCTCACCCTTCTCCTCCTGGGGGAGCCTCTGCTTGTCCCGCCCCTCCCCCAGTCCCACTGGCTGGCTGGGGGTGGGGAGGTGGGGGTTGGTGTCTGGGTCCTGTGGTGAGTAGAGCCACCAGGGCCGGAGCCAGGGCTCGGGCTCTCTGTTCCCGGAGTCCCTGCTCAGGCCCACAGATGAATATGCTGGCAGAGAGCTGGCAGTACCTCCCTGCCAGTCTCACTGACCGCTGAGAGGCATGAACACAGGCTAGCATCACAAGTCCCTTCCGGAAGTCGGGCAGAAGCCCCTGGATGGCCACTCTGGGGGCTGCGCACATTTCCCCTCTAGTGGCAGAAAGGCAGTGGAGGGCGCAGGGCACCGGCCCTAGCCATGCCCTGGGGCTCTGATCCCCTCTGATTGCCCTTTGGCTGCCTCCTTCCGCCATCGTGGGCTGCAAGCCTTGGCCTGCCAGTACTGCCTGGCTGGCTGGCTCAGCCTCTGGTGGCCAAGGCCTGTGTGGGGCCCTCCCTCCCACCCCACCCCCACCCAGTGTCCCACAAGCAAAGCGGTCACCTACCTGAGGTCTCACCCGGCTTCACCTCCACCTCAAACTCCGCGGTGATGTGGGACACCTCCTTGGATGGCGACTGACGGCCTCGTCGCCTCTTCCTGGAGGAGTCACACTTGAGTGTCACCAAAGTCACCTGGCAGCTGTCTGGACGAGGAAGGGAACACTGCAAAGGCAGCCTGGGTGGGGCGCGGACTACCCACCCCGCATGGAGGCTGCCCGCCACGGGCACCCGTGGTGCATGCTCGGTTCCTGGTTGGTGGTATTATTCTGGGAGGTTCTGGAAACTTCAGGAGGAGAGGCCTAGATGAAGGAGTAGGTTGCTGGGAGTGTGCGCCCTTGACAGCCTATATACCTGGTTCCCAGTCCCTTCCTTCCCTCTGCTTCCTGTCTGCCACGAGCTGACCGGCCTCTCCCTCCCCACCCCCAGGACAGTCTTCCTCACTACAGGCCCAGAGGAGGACGGAGAAACTGTGAACCCCACCCTCCCCTTAGGTAGTGTATGTCAGGGGATGAGAAAAATCCTGAATACAGCTTGCATTGTAAGGTCCCTCCATGGCCAGTCATTCATAGAGCACAAGGGGACATGGAGGTTGATTCACCCAGGGCCGGCTGGGGGATATGGAGGCCAGGAGGCCAGGGCTGGCTCACAGGGACAGGGCTGGGTGGGGCCTCAGGCCCTGCCCTCTGAGCCGCATGCCTCTGCCTGTGGAGGACCTTACACCTGACCACTTCGGGGGGCCATGTGTGGCGTTCAGGGCCCACATTCCTGGCTAAGCCTGCAGAGTGCTGGGAGGTTTGCCGGCTTTGAGGGAGCACACCGAGTCACCGCTGGATGCTCCCCGTGTGGGCCTGCTCACCAAGCCTGTCCTGGGCCATCCCCCTGCACGCCACCTCCCCCCCCCCCGCCTGTAATGCTCCCATCAGGACTCCAGGCCACGCAGAAAGTCCTTGCTGGTTGAGGGGTTCCTTTAACTCAGGGTGCTGCAGAGACCTGGTTTCTCACTCAAAGGCCGGCCTTCTTCCCAGGACTCAGGCCACCATCAGCAGTGCCCAGGTGGGGGTCCCTGGGCTAAAGGGCCATGGTGGTGGGGCACAGGAAGACCACTATGCTTAGAAACCCATCTGTGCTGGAACCCAGGCTCCTGCCTGCCAGGCCTGTGGACTCACCCTGTCCCCCTCTGTCCTGGCAGGTGGGAGACCATGGCCCGCACACCCGGCAGCCTGGGCCCCGCCGGCTCGTCTGTGCACTCACCCAGCAGCGGCTGACTCTGACTCTGAGCCTCCTTGGCTCGCTCCCGGCTGTGGGGCCGGAGCTGGCACCTGGCATCTCTGATCTTGAAGCGGGCCTTCTGCTTGATGGGAGCACTGGGGGCATCTGGGGAAAGCCAAAATCCCCGCCATGGCAGCCTCTCCTGTGGGTAATGAGGTGGTGGGGGGGCAGGGGCTGCCAGGGAGGCTGGGGCTGTGGGTTGCATGGCTACTTCTGTCTGGACAGCCCTCCCAGGGCGGGCAAACATCTCTGCCCCATTTCTTTCTTTCCAGGCAAGGCCTGAAAAATGTGTACCCACGGTCAGAGGGTCAGATGCAAGGCCAGGGCAACCCAGCAGGGGTCTCTGCCTGCAGAGAGGGGGTTGAAACCCCAGAGACTTACAGAATCACAATTCCTGCACAGCCCCGCCTGCCGCCAGAGTCCATGCATGCATGAGCGCACAGAGGTGCCCAGCCCTCACGGGAAGGGTCTGTCTGGAAGGGGGGGGACTGTGCCCACCTGGGCATGGCTCAAGGGCAGCTGTGCATGCGGATATGATGCTCTGCTGAAGCAGAGACTGAGAGCAATGGAGTCCCAGCGTGCGGGGTCACTGAGCCACTGCTACGTGACAGAGCCAGAGTGGCCCTGCTGCGGCTCTCTGTCCCTGGGCTGGGGCTTGCCCTCTATGTGCTGCGAGGCCTTGGCCCTGCCTGGTCTCCAGGACCCCAGGCCAAGCCAGGCAGCTCCTGCCACCCCCCCGATGGGCCCCGTGGTACCTGAGCAGCCGGACCCGGCACTAGAGATGGTGCCATTGCGTTTTGGTGGCGTCTTGCCCTGGGGACCTGGAACACCGCAGCTCAGGACATAGCTGTTTTCTGCATCTGTCAAAAGGCCAGTTGGGGAGATGGGCCTGGGGATTCTCCCTTCCAGAGCTCCCAGATTCCTGAGGGCTCCAGGGACTCGCTGAGTGAGACAGACCCCTGTATCTGATTGTAAAGGGTTCCGAGGATCCCAGAGAGCCAGACAGCATTAGGGTGCTCGTGAGCCCGCGGGGTCCCCGCAGCAGACCACGCATGCTCAGTGAGCCCACCCTCCGCTTGGTCTGGGCTCTCTCCCAGAGCAGCATGAAGCAGGGTCTGAGCCCCAGGGAAGACCCCCTCCCCACCGCGACCTGCCCCACCGTCTGGAGTTACCTGGCACAAACAGGGTATGGGCTGGGCAGGACAGGAAGCAGCTCTCCACGCCTCCCACCTTGCTGCACGCCAGTTGGGCCTGGGCAGAGGCCAGGGCCCGAGAGAGGCACTTGCCCATCTCTGGGGAGAACACAGACAGGCCTGAGGCTGGAGTGCAGGACTCTGAGCCTGAGCCTGGGACCCCACCACTCTGTCCTCCTAAGACCAAGCCGTCCTGGGGCAGGGGACTCAGCGAGGGCAGAATCCACGTCCATCTGTCCACGTGGAATACTGGGCCCAGACAGCTGGCTTTCCCTCTTCTCCTCGGACCCTGCCCTGGCCATCTGTAAGGTCACAGCTGTGCCCAGAGGGCAGGGCCTGATCCTCATAGGAGGTGGCCGTGGGCACCTGAGGAAGGGAAGTCCTTCCAGGACTCCTGTGGGAGGGGAGGAGGGGATGGGGAAGAGTGGGAGGAAGGGAGGGAGCAGCCTATCAGTAAGTTGTAAAGATGCCTGAAGCAGCTCTGGTGTATCTTTAGAGGACGGTGAAATCCTCCTTCTTGTAGAAGTCTGGCTGTCCCCGGCCATGGTGAACATCAGAACTCACTGGCAGATGTCTGACTGGTGAGGGACTGGCTCTGAAAGCCAGCTGACAGAACAGCTTGCACTCTGAGGCGGTCAGCCACCAGACTGCAGCCAGCACAGCCCCAGACCCAACCACATCCCCAGAAACGGTCACCCCAAACTGCCGCTGAAGACCACCAGAGCTTGGCTTCGTCCACAGGCAGGTGGGGACCTGCCCTGCTTTCTAAGCAGTGCACACAGCTTTCTGGTCTTAGGTATGGATGGGGATCTGCCCCAGGTCCTTTCAGAACACTCAAATTCCCTAGCACCTCTACTCATGAGCTCGCTCGCGTTCCCCAGCGTCCTGTGTGGTGGGGTCTCTACTGATGATGTCGCTTCACTGCCAAGGGCTTGGATTGGAGGACAAAAGAGCAAAGGCAGCAGGTGACAAGCAGGAAAAGATTTAAATACCTAGCCAAACACAATTCTCATCAAAAATAGCCTCAAGAGAACTCTAAAAATAGGGAAAGTTGCATCTAGAAGCCTTTCCTTTAAGAAAAAAAAAAACCAGATAAAGGTTTGAAGATTGAAAACAAAGTAAATATGACTTCACCATTGACTTCAAACATAGAATTTATGCCTGCAAACAATATTTCTGAGTAGCCCCAAAGCCAAAATACAGGAAGTCGAGTCCTTTCTGACAAGAATCTTGAGATCGAGGATTTAATAGAAAAGATAAATTGTAATGGGAAATTGCCAACTTGCATCACCTTTGACATGAGACTGAGCAAGCAAATAATCTAGAAACAAGCAGACAAGCGTCATCCTGGTGCTCCAGATGGAAATATCTGGCCCCGACATACAAAACCCACAGCCTGGGACCCAGCACCCTCCGAGAACGCCTGTGGGCAGGTGGGGAATGGGATGACTGGCCCCCATCCTGCCCTGGGCCCTCCCAGGCCTGTCTCAGCCTTGTTCACAGGGGGCTTCCTGGAGGGTGCCTGTCCAATCCAGCAGGGGCTCTGAGGATGCTGAGCCCTCACGGCCCCTTTCCCAGGCCGTCGGTCAGGCTGTGTTGGCGGCCAGAATCTGCCATCCTACCTCTTAAAGAGCAGGCTGGCTTCTATCCACTCTAAGAAACAATGAGGTGGGGTGGGGGGAGAGGGCTGGGTGTGTGGCACATGCCAATAATCCCAGCTACTTGGGAGGTGAAGATCGGCGGACCAAGACTGGTTCCTGAGAGAAGCAGGAGACTCTATCTGAAAGAATAACTGAAGTGAAAAGTACCAAGGGAGTGACTCCCATGTGGCAGAATGCCTGTCTAGTAAGCGTAACTAATTACACACACCACCACTGCTGCCACCAGCAAATATCCAGATTTCTTCCTCCTGGATAGCAGGCAGCACCCGGACTCCTCCGAGCGACCCCCGTGGGACCAGAGGGAGAGCACGCACTGCTCTAGTGCTGTGCGAGTCCTCTGTCCCCCAGCCAGTGTGCCCCGTCTCCCCGCCACAGCCTCAGCTGGCCAGCGAGGGAAGCTCAGACCAGAGCGCAGTCGGTCAGCACCCACGCCAGGACCCCAGGGGAGGCTCACAGGGGCCACAGATGCACGCGGGAAGGAGAGGAAGGGAGTCTGGCTATCATGCATGCGTGTGAGGGGATGGGTCAGCTGTGGATGAGGGGAGGTGTGTGTTAGCACGTGTGAAGGCACATGTGTGCACAAGCATGCGAGAGGGGTCAGGGGCGAGGGTGTGGGCATGGTGAGCTGGGGTCCCTCTGGGATCACAGGTGTGGGTCACCATGCCTGGCTCCTCTGGGCCCCCACTTCTCTGGGGCCAAGGGCCCCCATGTGCAGTGCAGAGCCATCCACTCCAAAGAAGCTGCCAGAACACCACACTCAGGATGGTTATTTTTAGAATTCCTACAGACTTCTCTTTCCACATGATTCTGATTACAGCTGATAGAGCCTTAGCATACCTCCACTATGCAGGATTCAGGGAGAGAATCCCCGGGGCCAAACTTCCCCAGCATTGGCAGAACACCTGGCCAGGAGCCCAGGAAGAGTCCAGGCTGAGTGTTCCCAGATCCCCGGCCCTCCCGCGCCCAGCCCTCCGCGCCCAGCCCGCAGCCTCGGCTCCCTGTCCCTGCCCACCCCAGGCCTTGCAGCCAGCCAAGCTCCCTTCAGATCCGGAGGGTTTTCCTTTCAGGCTGACCCAACTGCTTTCTGCTCATCCTTAAGGGAGCGTGGTGTCTGGTTATTTTCTCCTGGTCCCCACACTGCACACATCTCCTACCCTCTTCCCAAGACAAGGCTCAGCCAGAGGCCAGCCCACACATCTCCTCTCCAGAATCTTCCCCTCGGTGGGTGCTATGTAGTGAATGGGATTCGCGATGGAAACGAACAGAACCTAAAATTCACACAGAAATTCCAGGGGCCTCAGCAACAGACCAACTGATCTTGAATGTGAAATATGAAGCCAGGGGACACACATTTCCTGGTTTAACAACTTACTGCAAAACTATAATAATTCCAACAGTGAGGATGACTCAGGGCTCGAAGGACCAATGGGGGAGAGTCTGCAGTGCCAACGTAAGCCCACACGTTTACGTCCAACTAATGTTGATAACAATACTGAGGCAAAGAACAATCTTTTCAGTGACAATTGGTTAACTATGTGTAAAAAAACATAAGTCAGACTCATCTACTCTTACCATGTATATATATCTATATCTATATAAAACTATCTAAAAATTGCCAGGTACCGGTGGCTCACATCTGTAATCTTAGCTACCCAGGAGGCTGAGATCTGAGGATTGTTATTTAAAGCCAGTCTGGGCAGGAAAGTGTGTGAGACTCCTAGCTCCAACAAACCAGCAACAAGCTGAAAGTGGAGTTGTGGCTCAGGTGGTAGAGCAATAGTCTTGAGCAAAAGAAGCTAAGAGACAGAGCCCAGGCCTCAAGTTCAAGCCCCAGGATTAGCGTGCGCTCACACGCACACACAGAGGCATAGGTTCTAAATAGTTCTCCAAAGAACATACACAAGTGGAAGGTAAATACATGAATATGTAAATACACAAATGGATGGCAAGTGCAGGAAAACATATGCAGTCTCAGGGAAATGTAAACCAAACCATGGTGTGCTTCAGTCACTGCCTACAGTAAGGGAAAGTGAAATAATGACAGGAGCTGGTGAAGATGGAGAGACACTGGGATCTTATGCACTCTAGGTGATAATGAAAAATAGGACGGCCATTTTGGAAAACCGCTTCTTAAAAAAGAAAAACTGGGCACCAGTGGCTTACACCTACAATCCTAGCTACTCAGGAGGCTGAGATGTGATGCTCTTGGTTTGAAGCCAGACCAGGTAGGAAAGTCCATGAGACTCTTATCTCTGATTAACCAGCAAAAAGCCAGAAGTAGAGCTGTAGCTCAAGTGGTAGAGACCAGCCTTGAGTGAAAAAGCTCAGGGAGTGCCCAGGCTCTTGAGTTCAAGCCCCAGGGCTGGCATGTGCGTGCGCACACACACACACACACACACGCACACACACACACACACACACCCCTCCCCTGGCATCTCAGCTACAATACACAGTAGGCACAAGTACAAGGACTGTGGTCTGGGCCAGCCTGGGCAAAAATGTGTGACATTTCAAAATAAAAGCTGGAAAGAGCATCTGTGGTACAGCAACTGCCTAATAAGTATGAGGCTCTGAAATCAAACCCTACCTTTGCCAAACCAAACCCAAAACCAACTAGCAAAACCCAGCTTACCCTGGCTGAGGTGGGAAGCGTTGGGTTCACTTCCAGCACCATGAAACAAACCAAAAAGGGCCCCTCCCTTTGCGGGGGGTTGGAGGCAGTAAATACTGTCACAGAAGGGGGCAGGCAGAGGAAGAGGCCCCTGAACGGCTGGTAGCACACTAGTCCTGGACTGCAGGTTAGGAGGGGTGGTCTGAGCTTCTCCTGGACTTCCTTTACACTGGACCCCGACTCTCAGCAGAGGAAAGCAGAGCAGGATGAGCCCCTATTTCCTACCTCCTACCCTCACCTCCAAGGCTGAAGGATCAACAGCAGTGACATCTAAGGCAGACTTACGGAGTCACTGGATTTGATTTTTGGTCAGGCTTAAGAAGCCTTCCACTGGGAAGGGATGGGAAGGGTAAACAAAGGAGGAGGCTGCAATGCTTGGTAAGAAATGTACGTATTATCCTGCCCATGCAATTGTAACCCCTCTGTACAGTATGTTCACAAATAAAATAAAATAAAATTAAAAAAAAAGCAAAAAAAAAGAAGCCTTCCAGCACCTTCTACCTCCATTCATATTTATCTCAGCCATGCCATTGTTGAAATATTAAATATAGCAGATGAGTGAGAGATGAAAGTGGAATAAAGCCACATGACCTGCCAGTCAGCTCTCCAGAAATGACACCACAGAGAGGTGGGCTCAGGTAGGTATGTTGGAGAGATTTGGACAAGCCTTGGTGGCTGCCGCAAAGCTCTGATAAAGTAGGGGAGCAGAGGGAGGAGAGAGGAAAACAACAGAAGAATCGCTCCCTACATCACTGAGAAAGACTCCAGTGCCAAAGCCACAGTGCCAAGCAAACACTGACACAGCAGAGGCCTGAGGGACGGCTGGCACTCAGCCTTGGCTTTGCATGTCAGCCACTGGGGTAGATGCACCCAGGTAACCAGCCTTCAGACAGCATCACCCAACTCTTGTCCTTGTGAGCAGCACAAGCCATGCATCTCAGATCAACCTTACCTATTTGTGCCTCACACCCAACACCCCCACACCATGTGGTTTGCTTTGCTCGGTAGGACTGCCTGAACAGAGAGCAATCAATTCAGCCTTTCGATCAGACAGCCATTGATGGTCTCCATTCTTCCGTAGGTCTACCCACTCTTTTACTCAACAAATATCAGCTTGGTGTCTGTGACTGCCAGGCTCTGTTCTGGGTGCTAAAATATAGCAGGATTGGGATCAAGCTAGACTGAGCCTATGTGACATGGAAGGCAGTTCCAAAGTTTCAGGGCTACATTGAGGTCTTTGGTCCATTTTGGACTGATGTTGGTGTAAGGATCTAGCGGATGGCGATCTAGTTTCAGTTTTCTGCATGTGGATATCCAGTTTTGCCACTATCATTGGTTGAAGAGGCTGTCTTTCTTCCTGCCTAGGTTTTGGCTCCCTTCTGGAATATCAGCTGGCTATAGGTCTGTAGGTTTATTTCTGGACCTTCTATTCTGTTCCTTTGGTCCCCAGGCCCGTTTTTATGCTGGTACCAAGCTGTTTATGTTACTACAGCTCTGTAGTAGAGTTTGAAGTTTGGTTATTATTATACCTCTAGTTCCACTTTCCCCACTAAGGATCACTTTTGCAATTCAGGGTCTTTTATGGTTCCATATGACGTTTCTGATTGCTTTCTCTATCTTATTGAGGAAGGATGTTGGGATTTTGAGAAGCAGAGGCAGGGGCTGGGGAGGGGTACAGAGGCTGATATTCCAGGGGGTGTCAGGCAGGCCTCACTGCAAGTGGGGGGAGCAAGGGCCAAGTGAAGAGCCTACTGGGCCAGGGTGGGAGATTTGCTGCAAGCTGGGCTGGTGAGCATGGGTGTGTGTGGAGGCTCTGATGGTCTTCTGGCTATTCTAAACATTTGGCCTTGATCCTTGGGGGATGTGGAGGGCTTGGATCTGTAAGGCACCCTCGGGTGCCTGGAGGCATCAGAGCGTGGCAGGGCAGGGACCCTAAGAGAGAGTGCCAAGAGGGCTGGCACATGGCTCCCCACTCAGAACAGGGCCTACAGAGACCACTGAAGGTGTGGCTGTTCAGAACTCAGTGCCTAGAGCACAGTGTATCTCACAGCAGACAAGGGAGCTGAGGGTACTTGGGTCTCACTCCAGATTCAGCCCCTGAGTCAGCAGGAGAGCCCGCCGCTCTGGCTGTACACTGGCCTCCCTCTCTCTACCCACTCTCCATCCCAGGAGTGCCAGCTATTGGGCAACACCGCTTGCCTGGCTGCCCCCATCCCTGTCAGCTGCCAGCTTTCCTTCCCATGAGCTAAGCCCCAAGGCAGACAAGCCCTCCCCAGGATCCAGGGTTCACAGTATGAGGTCTCCATTTCTGCTTCCTCAAGACTACCTGGGCATCTGTACTCCACCTGTCCCGACTCCCTGGGGGAGGGACAGGGCCCCCACTCACCCACGCAGTCCTTCCGGTTCCAGTGCAGCCGCCTCCCTGGCGGGCAGACACACTCGTAGCTGCCCTTGGTGTTGACGCAGCCCTCGTCGCAGCCACCATGGTCCATGCTGCACTCATCCGCGTCTAGAAGCACAGGTAGAAGTGAGGGGGCGTGACCAACAGCCCAGGCCACACCCACTAAGATAGGACTGCCGACACAGACCACGCCTATAGGGTGTGGCCACCAGTCTAGGCCACGCCCACAGGGAATGGCAGGACCTGAGTGCACAAAAGCTCCTGACCCAGCTCAGCCTCAGGTGTACTTGTTCACACAAGTATACACACACACACACAAGCACACACAGGCTCCTCACAGATGCCAAAGCACAACCCTTCCCTGGGAGCCTCCGTTGTTTTCTGAGAGCTGAGAGGCAGCAGGCAAAGCTCCCGTCCAGATCTGCCTCCTGGGGCAGGGCCCAACCAGGCCCAGGCTCACAGGCCTGCCCGCCTCAGACTCCATCCCAGCCTCTCCAGATCCTCCTGTGCAGGAGAAACTAGGGTGGAAGGTGGCCGGTCCTCCTCTGGACACAGCTACTGCTGCAGCTGGGCAGCAAGCTCGGCCATCCTGCTGTGATACCCAGGCAGCTGTCCCCGGCCTGTGGCAGGCCCTGGGGCCTTGAGCGCCCTCCAGAGGTGTCACCCAGTCCCTCCGTGCCTATTGCTCCACTGCCTGGTCCTCACCCCAATCTTCAGGCTGTCCCCAGGTTCCAGAAAAGACAGAGAGATCATCATCGCCGACGCTTGGCTGGCGTGGCTGGCTTTGCCCTGCTCCCTGCTCAAGCCCGGAAGCTTAAGGCCCAGGCTTGCAGGTGCTTTTGAAAGGACAGTGCTCTAGATCCTTCCGCATGGCAGCCACAGCACTACTAGCGGGGCCATGCTACACCCTTGCTTAGGCTCCCTCCTGGTCTCTATGTTGTCAGTGGTAAGACCCAAGTGCCTTTTGGGCTCAGAAGGCCCTCTCTGCTTATTGGCTTCTGCCATACGGCCAGTCTCCAGCACCCCGTACATTCCCTCTCCCAGCATCTCGCTCCCCCCACCCAACTTTTCCTTTGGCATCCCCCACTGTCTCAACACTCCTTCTCTGTCGTGACCCTCTCTCTCCCACTGGAACCGTCTGTGGAGTTTTCAGTCCATCAGCTCCTCCCACCTCAGACAAAGGTCCTTTAGCAGATGAGGTTTCTAGGCCTATGTCCCAGTTGGGCCTTGGACTGACACTCTGCAGATACTCGCTGGCCCTCCTCCTGGGCAGGCTTCCCACATCCGACTCCTCCCCTTGCCTTGCCCTCCACGGAGCCCTCCGCGGCAGTCCCCAGCCTGGCTGTGCTCCCTCCCTGGCCCATGATCAGGTTGGGGTGTGGGGGTGCAGTGTAGGTGGCCGTGCGGCCAGGCGCGTGCCTCGAGGGGAAGGCGGCCCTGGCGGGCGGGCTGCAGACCTCCGCAGTGGGTGGCTCCGTAGAGGACGTAGCCGCTCTGACACAGACACTGGAAGCTGCCCGGGGAGTTGATGCAGATGTGGTCGCAGGTCCGCTCAAAGGAGCACTCGTCGATGTCTGCAGGGAGGAGGGGAGGAGGTGCGCCTGTCACTTGGTCACCAGTGGTCACCGCGGGCCCCGAGGCTCAGCACAGAGCCTGCCACAGTCCTGCCCAGATCCCACTCGGATCCCATTGGAAACCAGCTTCCATCTTTTCTGGAGGTAAGCTGGACAGAAATGCTTTGAATGGGAGGGAGCATATGAATCCCTTTCTTTTGCAGGTCTGAGAAGTGAACTCAAGGTCTTATGCTTGCTAAGCAGGAGCTTTACCTCTTGAACCATTCTGCCGGTTTCTTTTTGCATTGGTTATTTACGAGATCAGGTCTCACTGTACGGCCCAGCTGGCCTGGCCTGTCATCTTGCGCTGGGGTGACAAGCACATCCCTCCCAGCCTTGCAGGGGTGGGAAACCTTTGCTTTTTCTGCTAAGGGCTATTTGGATATGTGTAACATCACTCGAGGCTCACACAGGCACATGGCTGTGGATAGCCTCAGGGAGAGTCTGTCTCATCGTGTATCAAATGGTTTCCTAGACCTCGTGCTGCCCAGGCTCTGGGCTGCACTCCCAGGCTGTGACACCCACAGCCAGACACCTAGGGGCGCCACAGAACAAATGAGGGAAGCAGAGTAATGGGTGAGGAAACCAAGGCCTCCCCCGGGCCTTTTCTCCTTCACCTTCTCCCAAAGCCTGGCCTGCAGCCACTGGTCCCTTTCCCAATTCTCCCTCCCCATTCCTGGGGAGTGCTGCCCACCCTTCCTATGCGTTCTACCGCCCACCCACCAGTCCATCAGTTTCACTGTGGCCTCCTCAGGAGGCCTTCCCTGACCACTCTCTCCCCTGGCCACCCACTGGGCTCTGGCTGCCACCCCAGGAGCCTGTGATCCCTGTCCAGGCCCCCGGTCTGCGGCTGAGCGCCTGTGGTGTGGGGCGTCTTCCACCAGGTGGCAGCAGCCCACACTGCCACCAGCGCCACACACACACACACACACACACACACACACACACACACACACACACACACACACACACACACACACACGTAGGGTGGGACGATCCCTCGCTTTCGTTTCCCATAGGGATTCTTTTGAGACAAAATCTATGTAACCCAGACTGGACTCAAACTCACAACCCTCAGTGCTGAGATCACAGTGTGAGCCTCCAGGCCTGGCTGCTTTCCCACCGTGCAGGGGACAGGTGAGACCCACGCCCAGGCCCACGGGAAGGCAAAGTGGGCAGGGTGGGCAGGGCCTGGGGAGTGGCACCCCTCAGCGCCCCTCTCCCCCCTACCCCCCCCACGGGCATCCCCCTCAGGAGTCCAGGGCCCGGTGGGCGCTCACCCTGGCACGTCCGCTCGTCAGTCAGCAGCTTGTGGCCCTTGCGGCAGCCGCACTCAAAGCTGCCCACGGTGTTTCGGCAGAAGTGGTCACAGCCGCCATTGTTCACCAGGCACTCGTTGATGTCTGCGGGGAAGGGGTGGGGACTGATACCACGGCTGCCTGGTGAAGAACAGGCTCCCCCCCTGCCCTGAGACGGGACAGCGCAGCACCCTGCCCCCGAGCATGTGATCGCCCCATGTCACGTCTCAGGGTCGGATGGGCACGCGCAGGCCAGCACAGGTCAGTGGTCCTCAGCACCCGGGGGAGAAGCGGCTCTCACTGCCCCCTGGACTACTTTCCAGGCTTGGAAAGTACGTTATGGGTTCAAGAGGTTCCCTCCGCGGGGCAGGAAGTTGCCCGCAACTCTACGCTGTGCCCCTCCCCCCCCATGCCTGCCGGCTTGCTTGAGCTGCCCTGTCCATCAGCAATCATTGAGTGTGTTATCAGAGGCCTAGTCGCTGGCTCCCAGACACTGCCCTCCCCCCCAGAATGCTGCCTGAATCCCGTGTGCCCTCCCTGAGCTCCCCCCCTCCCCCCTAGACTCGGGGCCCTCGGCTGGCTGGCTGGGCTCTCCATGCCATCAGGAGCTCTGTCTCCAGTGCCTGATTAGGAGATCCAGCCAAACCACTCCAACTCCCCTTGCGCCTGCTCTCCACTCCATGGACAGTATCAGGGAAAGGGGTGACCTTCAGGGAGGAGAGAAAAGCTTGTGCCGGTGAGGAAGATGGAGACTCCCTGCTGGCACTGGCCACATCCCTGCCAGGCCCAGAGCCAGGACCTGCCAAGTCCACCGGAGAATGGGTGCCAGCTAAGTGCCCCCACACCCTGACCGCCCATGAGGAGGGTGAGCCTCCTGGTAGACAGGGCCTGGGTGCTACGCTTGCCCAGACCTTGGCCACGCCTTTCGCCGTGCTGCTCATTGTTTTTCCCTAAACCAAATAGGCTGGCCTGGACACCAGCCTGAAGTTACAACACTGCCTGTCACCCTAGCTATTCAGCAGGCTGAGATCTGAGGATCGTGGTTCAAAGCCAGCCCAGGCAGGAAAGTCCATGAGACTCTTATCTCCAATGAACCATCAGAAAACCAGAAGTGGCACTATGGCTCAACTGGTAGAGTGCTAGCTTTGAGCTGAAGATCTGAGAGACAGGGGCTGGAAAGGTGGCTCAGTGGTAGAGCCCTTGCCTCGCATGCACGAGGCCCTGGGTTCGATTCCTCAGCACCACATAAGCAAAAAGAAAAAAGCCAGAAGTGGGGCTGTGGCTCCAGTGGTATAGCACTACCCTTGAGCTGAAGATCTGAGGGACAGCGCCCAGGTCCAGAGATCAAGCCCCATGACCAATCCTCCCCCCCCCAAAAAAAAGGGCAAATGAGAAGGTGATCCTGTCATCCCAGAGAGCAGGAAGGACTTCAGGGCCAAGGAAAGTGGATCCCTGTGCACTACCCCAGCTGGGTGGGGTTGTGACTACGTAGGGGTGCAGGGTGGGGTGAGAGGCACAAGGGCACAGGGAAACATCTTCGCTCCCTTCGGGCTGGCCATGTGTGGGGTCCCTGCGTGCAGGGGGCAGAGGGAGGGCAGGTGAGCGCACCTTGGCTTCCACTCAGATAGAAGGCCTGGCAGGTCGCTGGCCTGGCGCAGGCAGCAGAGAGGAGGTGGGAGGGTAGGCAGGGGCAAGGGTCCTCCCGGATTGTTCTGGGAGGGGTTGGGAGGAGAGGGTGCTGTACAGAGGAAGACCCCGGGAGGCTTCCCTTCTTAGAAATAGCTCAGCCCAACAATGAGCGGGCACTGAGGGGACCCATTCTCCCCATACCCACACTTTTCTTTTTGTCAGCCGTGGGGCTTGAAGTCCCTCAGCTCTTCAGCTGAAGGTGAGCGTGCTACCACTTGAGCCACAGCACCACTTCTGGTTTTCTGGTGGTTTATTGGAGATAGGAGTCTCACGGACTTTCCTGCCCAGGCTGGCTTTGAACCGTGATCCTCAGATCTCAGCCTCCTGAATAGCTAGGATGACAGGCGTGAGCCACGGGTGCCAGGCTCAGCCCACACTCTTCAAACAAAGCTAGAGAATGCTCAAACCCTTCAGACGCACAGTCACCATGTTGAGGTAAAGCACCCCATTCTCCACCCCTGCTCCACCTGCGCCCCATTCTCCACACCCTGCTCCACCTGCGCCCCATTCTCCACCCCTGCTCCACCTGCGGGCCCTTGACTTCCCTCCTTGGCTTTTCCAAGCCCTCTGTGAACGCCCTTCCCCACATCCATCTTGCTTCACAGAGGCTCTTGGCTTCCAGAAAACATCAGATCTTTGAACTCACTCCACTGCTGTCTTCCCTGGGCCCTCACCAAGATCTGGGTGTGCACGTGGACTGGTAAGGCCCAAACCCCAGGATGGGTGCCATGGGTCCACTTTTGGGCTCACCCTGGCCAAGTCTTGGAGCCCTGTTTGCCCTGGGCTCCAGACTTTTCCATCCCTGGATCCCTGACTGGAGGGTGTTGTGACGCTTCTATCAGCGATTCAGAGGAGGCTGAATCCTTCGGCGTGACCTGCGCAGAAATCCCAACCCTCTGCTCTGCCCCCCTCCGAGGTCACCTGTGCGGGGTTTTCTCGAGCCTCATGATGGCTGCCTTGCCGCTCTTAGGTCCTGCCCGGAGGTGGCAGGTCAGGTGGTGACTCCCTGGACCTGAGCCTACCCTGCCCACGCTGATGGAGGCCTGGCTGGCAGCCATTGCTGGAGGTGCCCGCTGCCCCTCATCTTCCCTCCTGCAGCCCGGGCTGCCTGCTCCTGCCCTACATCTAGTGCAGACCTGACAAACATCTGTCTCCTGATCTGAGGGCAAGTGGGCGGGGGCCTGCTGTGTTCATCCGCTCCCAAACATTACACACGGCGGGAGCTGGGAACCTGCTGTGTTCATCCGCTCCCAAACATTACACACGGCGGGAGCTGGGAACCTGTTAGTTGAAGAGCTATGCTCTGAAGTCAGGAAGAAGCCAGAGCCCCAAGGACCGACGGTGGCCACCCTGGGCTTTGTGTCCACAGAGCGTGTGCAGCCAAAGGGCCAGGCAGGGGCAGCCTGGCTCCAGGGCTTTGGGAAATGGAGTCAGGGACGTGGGGCAGAGAGCCTTTGCTTAATCTCCTGCACCCCTCCCCTCTGCCAGAAATAGGGGGGGCATAAGTGCCCCTCAGGCCACCCAGGAGTGGCGTGGGGCAGCAGTAGGAGCTGGTTCCTTCTGGGTCACACTCTGCCAGGCCTCTTCAGCCCGGTTGGCTTGGCAGCTGGCGGTGAGCTGCTGGCTTCCGGCTCCCCATTCCTGGCTGTGCTGGTGTCACCTCAGGAATGGACCCTTGTGCTGCCTTCCTGACCCGGATCACCCTGCACCTGCAGGGTGGGTGGGAAGGCAAGGCCCCGACTGCCTCTGTGCCAGCCGGGAGGCCTGCGGCGAGAGGTCAGCCCCCTGTGACGTCACCACACCTGTGCGGACCTCTGTCCTCCTCCGCTCGGGGCGCGGAGTCCAGGGTCGGCGCTCAGGGGCTATTTGTCCTCATGTCTGCCGGGACACACCCAGGCCCTGACCAGGCCAATCCAGGCTGCAGTGGCTACAGAAGGGCTTCGTTTTCAAATAAACATGCAGAAGGGCTGTTCCTTCCGCCAGCGCACTGCTTTTCCAGTGGCTGGCGAGGACGGAGTCAGCCCATGTCTATGTTCAACACAGCCCATCCTGGCCTTGTTTAGGCATTCCCCCCCTTCCCGTCCCCCTCAGTGCTGGGCAGCTGTGTTCCCACTCGAGTGCAGGGGGCTCAGTGTTCAGGCCTGACTCTCTGCTTTCTGGGGGTCCCCTCTTGCCATTCCTGGGGTCACGCTATCCTAGAGCCAAGTCCGTGGGATGGGTCCGGGGACCAATGTTGGGGCGGGGCTGTGCCTTCCCTTCTAGCTTTCCCTCGCTCCCTGCACTGGCTGCTCTTCTGTTACGGGCTCCTCACAGATTTGTGACGATGGCACACACAGCGTGCCCGTGTCCCACACATCCCTGCGGAGGCTCTTCCCACCACAGTAAATCCCCCGCTCCCCCCACGTCCCGGGGAGCCAAAGGCTGGGAAGTTCTGCCTGAGTCTGACTGCTCCACAGCACAGCTGAACACGTTGATACAGGAACGTGCTCCTCGGACAGCTGTTCTCTGGAGCCCTGATGGGGGTCCCATCAGCCACGTGAAGGGCTTCCGGGCACAGGGGTGGGGTGCTGGGGGAGCATGCCCCGTGCTGACCTTTGCACGTTTTCCCATCCGGCTGCAGCGTGAATCCGACTGGGCAGCTGCAACGCACCCCAGTGGCCGTGTCCTTGCAGGTCCGGTCGCAGCCTCCGTTGTTCACCGCGCATGTCTCTGGGGGGGAGGAGGAGGGGGAGAGACAGATGCTCAGTCTCCTGGGGCCAAAGCTGTCATCTTCCCTATTCACCGTGGGGGGACACCTCCTAGGAGGCAGGAGAGCTGGGCTCAAGCTCTGGCCAGTACCCAGCTGTGGGCCCTGAGGGCGCCGGTCTGAGGCTCAGGCCCCCACGGGGTGACCGTGGAGGCCCTGATGCCAGGAGAAGTTCACTCCACACCGAAAGGACTCTGCCTGGGGAGACGGGACGGACGAGGGGGTTGAGACTGGGCTGGCTGCTATTGAATTGCGCAAGCCAAGTTCCTAAACTTTTGCCCTGGCTGCAGTCAGTCTCCAAGTCCAAGCCGGGTGGAACGGTGTGTGGCGCTGCGCCACGGAGCTGGGGTCCCCAGGGCCGCACGCACGCCGTTCATCACCGCCGCAAGGCTCCCTGCCCCACATCTGTTCTCACTGAACCGTCTGCCAGAGGCGTCTGGTTTTTATCCACTTGACGCCTGTCTAGTGCTTTTTTTCCCCCCTTCTGCAAAATTCAAAGGGGCCGGAGAGGCTGAGGGTGTAGCTGGGGTCCCCCGGGCCGCGGTGTGGTGAGGGAGATCCTTGGCAGGCCGCAGATGGGCTGGCCCAGGGTGGGGGTACCCGGGGCAGGGTGCATTCTTCTGGACTCTGATCCTTGCACCTGGGTTTCTTCCTGAGCATCTGGCGGGCTTGCAACTTGTGGAAAAGGTGCCCCAGTGGGCTTCCCTCTTCTCTTCGCTGCTAGGAAGTAGAAGCCAGGCGCCTACCTTTCACAGCCCAAGTTACCCTACTGGCCTCCACTTTGCTTCTCAGGGAGCTTGGCCCCCCTTTCTCTCCCCAGGACCGGTGCTCAGCTCTCTAAGCTGCCAACGGGTCCTCCCCACGAGGAGTTTGGAAGCGAGGGATCAGGACAGCCTTGGGGCCAGCGGTCCCCAGGGCTCGCTGGACCCCGTCACAGTGCTCCTCTTTGGAGGGGGTGGGGGGAGGGGGAACCCCTCCCTGTGCACATGCCCGCACACCGTGTCACTCTTCCTTCTCTGAAAGGCTGGGCCCCTTTCCTGACACCCTTCCCGGCCTGTCCCTCATGGCTGCGGCCTCCAGTTGGGGATGGGCACAGGCCTCTGCCGCCCCCTCCCGCCCCTGCAGGGTGCTGGGCTGTAGCTTGTGGTCTCCTCCACAGGACCCTTCCTGAAGTTCAGACACAGGGACAAGGCCCAGTGTCTCCTCCCCGTGGGGCACACGGGTCCTACACCAGCACAGACCAGTTCTGACGGGCTGCTGCCTGTCCCCTCCCATCATGCACCAAGACAGAAGAGGGGCCCCATGCGGGGCTCGAGGCCATCGGCCTTCCTTCCTGGGACCGGGGCAGAGACCACAGGAACCCCCTGCGTGGAACAAGTGTTTCCGGTCCTGGGGTTCAAATAGAGGGGGTCCTGCCTCCCAGCCCAAGTGCCTGTGGGACTTCTGCGTGAGCAGCCCTGTTCTGGAGGGGCAGTGTGTCTTCCTGATGGGGTAAATTAAGGCTCAGAGCAGGAGGGAAATGGGGACGGCCAGGGGGACGGGGGGCGGAGAGCAGGGGCTGGGGCGCGGCCATGGTGGTGGACTGGAGTACAGGCATTAGGGGCTGTGTCTCTGGTGGGGGGGGTGAATCAAACAGTTTGTACGTGTTCCTCTTCTATGAGCCATGGATTCTGGCCCTCCAGAGTCGGGGGGCTGCAGGGGTCGGCTGACCCCTCCTGCCCACGGGGAAGAAGCTAGCAGGACTGGGCTGCAGCATGGACGGCCACTGCTCACTGTGCCCCCTGCTGCCCCAACCCAAGGCCGGTACACACACTGCAGCTGTGAGCACCCCAGGGTCCTGGTGCTACCCCCCTCCCCCCTGTGGCGAGCACCACAGTGGTCTCTACTTCTTATGCCTCAGTGTCCAGTACTGCCAGGCTCTGCTCTGGCTGACCGATCCACAGCTTGCTGAGGGCAGGGGCCTGCCTAATAGCCTCCCCCAGATCCTTCCCCCCTCCCTGCTCTGGGACTCCTCCTCCACGATGCCGCCTTGCCCCCCTCCTCCCCAGATGCTCCTGCCCTCACTCCAGACCCGGTTCTTCTAGCCGCTGTTCTGGCCCAAGCCACTACTCTCCTCGATGTCACGACTCTCAGTGGTCCGCCCTCTAGCCCACTGTCTCATTCTGGGTAACAGAATTCCCCTAAGGGATTCTGGGCCAGGGGAGGGAGCATGCACTCAGTCTGTCCTAAACTCCTGCCTCCCTAGGACCCTGGGCAGGTCACAGGGCACGGGGTGGGGGCTCTGAGGTTCACAGATGTACACCGTCATCCAACATATGGAGCCAAGGTCTACACTCACAGAACAGGCTGGCCAGGCAGGACAGGCCCCTTGGCCTTGGAAATTTCCTAGCAGAAGGTCCTGGGTGCTACCAAAGGAGATGCTTCTGCTGTTAACAGCCTAGGGTCCTACCCAGGCCATCTCTCAAAGCAGGCTGCAAAGGCAGTCTTGCCTTTCTGTCTTCTCAAACCAGAAGCCTCCTTTGCCTTAGAGAAATGCAGAAAAGGGGCCCCAGACCTTGCTTAACTTTGGATCACCTGACTGCAAGCATCCTACAGAGCCCCGTGTCTCCCAGACCCCGGGGCCTTCTTGCTCCTTACCCGGGAGGCCTTCTGGATTCCATCCACCCTCCACATTCCTTCTTGGGGTTCTGCAGGCTGGGCCAGCCGAGCTTGGCTCAAGCCATCTGAACCTGAGTGCTGGGTCTTAAAAGGGGGCAGGGCAAAGCTCAACTTCAGAGTGCCTTCTCCAAGAGCTCGCTCCGTCCCATCTCTAGGTAGAGCTACCCGGCTTCTTCCCAGAAACGCATCAGGAACCGGGGCTCCTGCGGCAGAGGCCCAGCTCTGGTGACCTCAGCCAGCAGCCCCATGACAGGCAGCCAGCACGCAGTAGGCACGCAGCAAGAATCAGAGGGGGAACCAGTGCAGACAGGCCTGATCTGTGCCCTGCCTGTGGCCTCGCTGCCTGCCCTGCTGGCCAGGGGCAGGAAGGCAGCCCAGGGGCGGCTGGGCTCTAAAGGGTGAAGGGGAGATCCTAGACAAGTTAGAAGGCCGGGCCCTGACTTTCCTGAGGGGGGGGAGAGAGGAAGTGGTGCTTCTCATGGAGGAGCCCTACAGGGAGGGGAGATGTCCCACCAGGCCCTCTTGCCCAGCCAGAGGATGCAGGGGCAAAGGACAGGGCAGTGTTGACCACCGTGTGGTGGATCAGGTATGAGTGATGACCTCTGATGGGCAAGTCCCTGTGACGTGACTCTGCTTCCTGACAATGATGAGTGTTTACCACCTATCTCTTGCGGGGCCCAGACACACCAGCACAGGCATGGATGCTCTGTAAGCTGCTCTGTGTAGATACAGGCTCACCCAGGTACCACTTCTGCAAAGAGTTTCCTCACCTAGACTTCACTGTGGGGTGTGTGTGCTAGTCCTAGGGCTTAAACACTGGGCCTGGACACTGTCTCTGAGATTTTTTTTTTTTGCTCAAAGCTAAAGCTCTACCACTTGAGCCAAAGCTCCATTTCTGACTTTTTTGATGATTAAGTAGAGATAAGCATCTCACAGACTTTCCCTGCCCAGGCTGGCTTCAAACTGTGATCCTCAGATCTCAGCCTCCTGAATAGCTAGGATTACAGGCGTGAGCCACTGGTACCCGGCTTCATCCTTTTTGGAGTACCTCGGTGCTGGGCAGAGGGCAACCACAATCTAGTGGGCAGCAGAGGGGTTTATGTCGCCCTGCTGTGGCCACAAGAGAAGCCATGGAGCTGACTTGGAGTCTGGGGAGAGATCTGGCCTTTCTACAGGAGTACAGGCCCACCTTTCTCAAAGCAGGGTTCCAGTGGCTGACCTCTGCATGGCTGCCATCCCCCCACTCCCACTCCCACCGCTGGCCTAGCCCTGTCCATGCTTTCCCGAGCCTGCCCAGGGCAGCTGACTCCTGGGAGGGCACTGTCTATCCACAAGGTGGTCCCCTCACCCACCCTCTGCTCGCGGGGCAGGGTTGGGGGAGGATGGCTCTCGTGTCTAGAATTCAGCACAGCCCCAGCACAACGAAGCCAGCAATTCAACGACTGGTCTTAGTGAGAAGTGGCAGAGAGCAAGGGCACCATGTCCCTGAGTCAGGCCTGGTGAGCGAAGGGCAGGATCCCAGGGTGAGCTGTAGGGCGAGGGCTCAGCTGGCCGAGAGTGGCAGTGCTGCAGGAGCAGAGAGCTCTTCCAGGGCCCACAAGGGGCTGAGGGCCAGTGTGCTGGGCTTTGCTCCCTCCAGGCTTTGGGTTCTGACCTGTGCTGTGCCTACAGCTCTTCCAGAGGCTCTGATCCCTACGTCTTCCCTGTCTCTCCCTGGAAGGCCTGACCCTGATGGAGAAGCAGCCCAAGGCCCTGGCAGGGGGCATCACGCTGGCCTCAGCCAGGGCGGTGCACCTGCTTTCTTGCCTCTAAAAGTAGCTGAAGCAGCTGGATGGTCCCAGCCACAGGGCTCACCATTGACTCCGCCCTCACCCGTCCCAGGGCAGCCATCAGAAGCCTGGACATTTTCCCCTCTGCTGGGAGCGCTGGGTGCTCACCACCTCTCCCCTCAGTGGACTGTGGACCCTTGCCTGACTTTGGGGCAGGTCACTCTCTCTGGCCTGGCTTTTAAGTTCGCAGTCCTGTCTGCCTCATGGCTGTCACCTGTGGCAGGCTGGCACTGGTACCGTGCTGGGCACTACGGTGGCCAGCCTCTTCACCGATATCCAGAAGGCCCTGCTCTGCCTCCAACTGGGTAGATGTGTCCTGAGCACTTTCTGCATGGCGGGGGAGGACTGGCCCCCCCAAGACTGGGCATGCCTCAGAGTGGAGCTGGGGAACATGCTGGGACAATGTAGGGGATGAGCCCAGGGCAGCTGAGGCAGGGAGGCTGCGGAGGCCAGGACTGCGGCCCTGGTGAGGTGGA